GGGAGTGTGCAATGTAGAGGGTGAGAGTGATGGAAGAGTGTGCAGTGTAGAGGGTGAGAGTGATGGAGGAGTGTGCAGTGTAGAGGGTGAGAGTGGTGGAGGAATGTGCAGTGTAGAGGGTGAGATTGATGGAGTAGTGTGCAGTGTAGAGTGAGGGACTGAGGGAGGACATAGAGAGGACCTCGGATGAGGAAGAACACAGAAGATTTAGTAGTAAGGAATGGAAATGTCCGTTTGTAAAAGCGACGGAAAGGAATGTAAGGAGGTGGTGTTGAGTGATGGTCTCCAACACTGCCCTCTCCGGGTCTCCAACACTGCCCTCTCCGGGTCTCCAACACTGCCCTCTCCGGGTCTCCAACACTGCCCTCTCCGGGACTCCAACACTGCCATCTCCGGGTCTCCAACACTGCCATCTCCGGGTCTCCAACACTGCCCTCTCCGGGTCTCCAACACTGCCCCTCCTGGTCTCCTACACTGCCCTCTCCGGGTTTCCAACACTGCCATCTCCTGGTCTCCAACACTGTCATCTGTTCCACACACACACAACAATAACTCTCATTAGCATCCCTTCTTGTCCGTCCTAACTTACTCATGGCGATTTGATGCACTATTTGTTGCGGTTCACTCCTGACACTCTCCCGAGCTCCTCTCCCCTCCATCATCAATACAATCAACCCCATAAACACCGTGAAGCACTATTCTAACCTTTTCCAGTACACCTCCCCATCCCCTTTCAACCCCTTTGTATCTATACTACCTTTCAAACCCCCTTCAACTCTCTCCAACTACCCTCATATATATATATATATATATATATATATATATATATATATATATATAGGGGCATTATGTCTCGTTTGCTCGTTGTGAATAAACCCTCTGCCTTGCAGAAAAGAATATAATAATAATAATAATAATAATAATAATAATAATAATAACCCATTTTCAGAAAACATAAATATTTCTTGGAGGACAAATTGAAAATTTACCGCCAGACATTGCCTCTACCGTAAATAAAATAATAGAATTATTACGCCTGTGCGTGTGTACCATCGTATTTTCGAGTCCAAATAATTTCCAACGTCAAAAATATTGTTGTAGTCAAAAAGAGGAGATAAGCTGAAGGAGCTTATCTCCTCCTTTTGCTCTCTATCTTCCTCAGACACGTTGACCAGCCCACACACTAGAAGGTGAAGGGACGACGATGTTTCGGTCCGTCCTGGACCATTCTCAAGTCTATTGTTCCTCAGACTCTGTTTTAGATTGTAGAATAACCCTGATCTCTCCCTGTTTACCTACCCACTAATGTACTTCGCGACGTGCTGGGTTCTCAAAGTAACTACCACTGTTGGTTTGAAGATCTTCTTTCCCTCGGAGTCGGTAACTACTTTAGCAAATGTTTTGTGGTAAAGTGTGCCAGCGGGACACTCCTGGAAATTCCTTCCAATTACATTATTGAGTGTCTATGCACTACCCCATGTAGATATACCAGTATTAAGTACCTGGTGATTTGTAATGACATCATTCTCTTGTAAAGTTTGCAAGTGGTGTGTAACTGATTGCATTACCCTGCTTGACAGACCATTCTGTGAGTTGGGGGGAGCTAAATCCCACACAACTAGCAGTTAACGAACTTTATAACTCTTCATATTGTTTAACGAGGTGAGTTAGTTGATGGTGCCCAGGTCTGTCTGAGTGACTCCCCCCTCACTCTGTTTATATGTTTCTACCAATCTCTGTCCATATCTATCTCTATCTATCTAGCTATCTCTATCTCCCCTCTTTTTTCTTTCCTTCTTCCAATTCCCCTCTTTCCCACTTTCCCTCCTCCTCCTCCTCCTCCCCTCTTCCCCTTTTCCTTCCCATCTCCCCTATTTTTCCTGCTTCTCCCCCCCTCACCATTATCGCCCAATACTCCATCCTATCCTCCCAATCCTGGAACAGATAGACGTTCCCCTTTATATGTATGTATAATGAGAGGTGAAAAATGCGTAGATAAACGGTGTGAGCAGTATTATTCTTTCCTTTCATCATATTCTTACCTTCATCTTTCACGTATAGTTGCCCTAAAACTTTGGCTAAACAGAAGAATTGCTGTCTCCCTTCATGCAGGTCGCCGCTCAATCCTCGATCGTCCAAGTGTCTGGGCACCATGCCCTTGCCCCGTCCCATCTCACATCTGTATCCTGATCCCATCCCTGTCCCATAGAGTCGAAATGGCTTGGCACTTCCTTCCCTTCTCTTTCTTGTACATTCATAACCCCCCCTTTCATTTCACTCTCTGACCTTGCATTGCTAGTCTCTTCCACTCTCTCAATTACACGATAATGGTATCGGATTTTCATTTTCAGATTAGGGGATTGGGTTCTTCAGCCACGTTTTTTGTTCTTGTTTTTATTAACTCATTTAGTTACATCTGTATTTGTGCAGCTGCTTAAGGCTATATGAAGAGGAGTCCATGACGTATCAGCCACAAGCCGCACTCTCAAGCCATCTTATTGACCAAATAAGGAGGCTGAGGGTCTCTTTTCTCGAGAACAAATGACGTACAAAGTTCTCAGGTGTTATCTGCTGCCCTGCAAGGCTGCCGACAAATGGTGAGCGACCGGCCTGAACAGCACTAAAGTGAAGCTGACAGATGGCGACAGTGAAGCGAGGAAAGATTGCCTGCTGGCCACATACATCTCCCGCTCAACTGGCTTCAAGATGAATGGGGGAGAGACAGTGGTGGTGGGGGAGAGGGGGGCCCGAGATGGAGAACGTGAGTGTAGTGGTGGGGAAGAGAGAGGGGGGGGGAGGATGGTGGTGAAGCATTAGTTGTAATGGTGGCGGATAGTGATGGGGTGGTGGTGGTGGTAAAGGGTGATGGGGTGGGGGTGGGGGTAGGGAAAGTTAATGGGGGTGGACCGTGAATTGAGGGAGATCAATTGGTGGTGGTGAGGGGTATTAGTTGGTAAAAGAGATGGATGAGGTAGTGTTGGTGATGGGAGAAGGATTGTGGCGGTTGGGAGGGTTGATGTTGTGAAGAATGATAGTGATGGAAGAAGGAAACAGTAGTGAGAGTGAAGAGAAAGGAAAAAAAGTGATGAGAACAGAAGGGGAGTAAAGGAAGTGAAAGGGGAGTGAAGGGAGAGGAAGAGGATTGAAAAGAGAGAGAGGTAGGTGAGTGAAAGCAACGGAATGGGAGTGAAGGGAGAGGAAGGTGAAGATGGTGCAACAGGACTTCATCATACTAATCGCTATCTTAAAATCCACTAGCAAGAGAAGTATCACAATGACCCCATTATGCGAACACAGCAGTTTCGTCACACTCCTCATCGTAAATACGAACAACCATGAACTAGCTTGGTCATCACTAACGAAACATAGAGCTAGTCATTAGCCAACGACACAAAACGGTACTCAATAAAAAAATTTCACTAAAGCTGCACCGTCATTATTACAAGTGACAGTAAGATATGCTTTAATAACTGATTTTTACAGTACATAACTTCACCTACTTAACCTATCAATACTTACCTATTAGTGACTACGTGGGAGTAAGGTGTAGCTCCCTATGCCCGGCATTACAGCTGTTACTCCCTGACGCACTCCGATCTCTTATTATCGGTTTCATATTTTTTCTTATAGTTATCAATAGAATTTGTTTGCACAACCACTTCTTTCAAAGCATTCCGACTACCGGTACAGGGCACGAGACCTTCCTTACATCTCTTCGACCCAAATGCGTGTCTGCTCCTCCCTTAATTTAATTTCAAATAGGATTCCTTTGTCCACTTTGTCTATTTTCCTCAAAATGTTGTTTGAAATAAGTATATGTGTGTGTGTGTTTGTGTATGTGTGTGTGTGTGTGTGTGTGTGTGTGTGTGTGTGTGTGTGTGTGTGTGTGTGTGTGTGTGTGTGTGTGTGTGTGTGTGTGTGAGTGAGTGTGTGTGTATGTGAGTGAGTGTGTGTGTGTGTGCGTGTGTAGTCACCTAGTTGTACTCCTGATCCCTTCTGATCTAACATACCGACAACGACATGAAACGTGGGTTTCTGCCAGGTTTGTGATCACTGGATCATGTTATGATTTCTGACAGATGGGAACCAAAACACCTGAGCAGCCTCGTGTAGATTCGTTACCCGCCGGGGGCACGGACGGAGTGCCACCTGGCGGTGGCCATGACTCCCACATTGATCATTCCTAAGCTAACGGTGCGCGCTCCAAGCAACAGCCTGTTGGACCAAGCTCTCACAAGTCAAGCCTGGCCTCGGGTCTAGTTTGGGGAGTAGAAGAACTCCCAGGAACTCAATCAAGCAGGTATCAAGCAAGTAAGTACTAATAGCAGTAGTATTAATAGTAATACAACTAATAGTAGCAGTACCAATAGAAGTGGAAAGAGTTAGACAATTCTATTAGTAATTACATTAAGTATTAGAAGCAGTAGTAATATGTGTTAGTTGTATAAATTAATGATATTATTAGAAGAGAGGAAGATTAATTGTTCCACAAATGTAGTCAACTTTTATATCTAAATAGAAGTTTTTCTTCTCACGGTGCTACATCAACCATCAACATTACTACTGGCTGAGCAGGATTGAGAAGAGAGTATGTAGAGAGCCTTTAGCTTCTCTGTCCTCACCTAATCTTTTCTATATTGAAGTACGGAATATATATTTATTTTTTTAAGAAGTGTAACACGTAATAGACCACAATGGAACATATGTTATCTGCTCGCCAGTGTATTCTTGTATGTACCTTCATGTATATTTTAGAGTGTTTCAGTAAGGCACTTTTCTCATATGCACCTCACTGCATTACAAAGCATTTCCTTATACACCCTTCTAATAATATATACTTCTGTGTACTTATGTGCACCTCTATGTACATCTGTGTATCTGTGTATCTCCGTGAACCACTGTGCAATCTGATTACTGCCGTGAGCCCCAATCACATCAATGAACTCAAATATATCTCACAGGAAATACACTACAAATCATCGGGCAATAAAACCTCATGATAGAAGACAGTCGTTTATTATACAAAATACAGGTGTACAAAAATCTGTGCGCCCAAGACAGAGACGTAGAGTTGGAATGGAAACCCATTTAAAATGGGACTTCAGTTGGAATATGAATACACTTGTAATGGTAAATCCAACAAGATTGGTAATGTAGAGGGGATAAGAATCTTGTTGATATTGAAATTCTTCTGGGTTTTTTAAAATAACGATAATGATTAAAGTTGAATAGTAGATAATTTTGCTTAGAATGTATCTGAAAGGAATCTAAAATAAAACATCTAATTCCGCATTAATGAAATAAAATGGATATATCAAATAATCTGAAATGAAAACCAACTGAAAATTGAAATAATATGTGATGACATTTCGATCAAAATAGGACACTGACCAGAAAGAAAATTCAAATGGATTATGGTGAACCTGAAATGAAAATAGAATTCCCATGGGAATCCAGCTAAAATGTAAAACAATTTTGAATGGAATTTAGGTGATAAAGAAAGACAGCTGGATTTGCCAGGCATCTAAAAGAAATGTTCTATCTTCAAATTTACTCCAACTACAATGGGGAGACAAACAGAATGACCATCTGTCTAATGTAAAAACTCACCCAAAATAAATATTCAACATAGGGGGAGCCCCGAATAAGGAGTCAGACTAGGACGGTAATTCAACTGGAATGGAAGTCCAACTAGAATTCAAATTGGTCTTGAATGGGAACCACGAACTTCACTGTATAGTTACACACAGACTGCATAGTTACATACAGACTGCATAGTTACATACACAGACTGTAGAGTTACACAGACTGTACCAGAGAAGCAGTGACGTGTTGTCGTATGGATGACGAGAAGTAATTACATTAATAATAATAAATAATAATAACATTAATAATAATTATGATCCTAATATAAGGAGCAGAAACAATTGTTTGTTTATAACTGATATTATTTTCTTTTACCTGATTAAAAAAACACATCAATCAGGCTTTAAATGCAAAACTTATGTACACACAACAGTGCACAAAATATAGAAATAATGAGATCTATGTAATGTCAGTTTCAAAGGAAGAATGTCGTCTGATTGTCAAGTGACAGGTGTCAAGTGTTTTGTCAAAGTATGATTGCCAAGTATTGTCATATGAGGATTGTCAAGTTTTATCAAATAATAGAGTTCCAGGTGATGATAGGCATATGCTGAATATCAAGAACTGATATATGATGAAGTGGAAGGCGATGAGTCTCAGAGGCTGAGTGTCAGCTGATTAGTTTGAGTTCAATCTCCATCACAGGCAAACAAGGCCTCTTTCACGGCCATTGAGTCGTGTCCGGTGGTAATCAACTTATACCAATCAGCTGTGCTAGTCAGAGGCACGCACAGAGACCAGACTGGACTGTATTCCCTAGTCCTGAACACTTATGTTAGCCAACCTCAGCACTGACAAGTGCAAGTGCCAATTGGCTGTTTCTCTTTGTCTTGTCATTGCTATTATAATCCACTTTGCGCAGCTGGGCACTAGAGTCAGCTGCAATCACCCAATCTGGACTCAATCGTCAGTTGCTCTCAGTCCAACCATTCACAAGGCTTTGCCAATCAGCACAGTGGTGAAAATCAGTTCCAGCTATTACGGACCGTGCCAAACGCAAGAATAAATTGTGTTTAGCCCTGGTCTGACACTCGTGTCAGCCACCGTCAGTCTAGAATGGACTGAGTGTACCAGCCGTCGTCATCCGTGTCAAGCTTAGGTTTCAGCCCAACCACAGCATTTGGGCCTTCTACTATAAATATAGAGGCTATTGATGAACTGAACAGTATAGCTTCAGGTCCGGCAAACAACACGTAATTAAATACACCCTATGTATGATACAACTTACACCATGTATGATGCAACATACACCATGTATGATAAAAAATACACCATGTATGATACACCATATATGGTTCAACATACAGCATGTCTGATATAACACGCAGCATGTATGATTCAACATACTGCATGTATGATACAACATACACCACATATGATGCAACATACAAAATGTATGATACAACATACATCATGTATGATACAACATACACCACATATGATGCAACATACACCATGTGTGATACAACATACACCACATATGATGCAACATACACAATGTATGATACAACATACATCATGTATGATACAACATACACCACATACGATGCAACATACACCATGTGTGATACAACATACATTGAACACAGGAGTACCAACATAAATATACAAATGATGGCCTAAACACTATACTTCATAAAGCAGCACTTTACAAATATATGCATAATGAAAATAATATAAGTACTCACCAAGTTGTACTCATCTAGTGGTGTTTGCGGGGGTCGAGCTTAGGCTCTTTGGTCCCGCCTCTCAACTATCAATCAACTGGTAGGTATTTAGTCTTCACAGAAGACAACGTTAGGAAACTGCTTTTTCTTTTGTCTTGCTTTTGTATAACAAACAGCCATTTTACTCGGTAATTTTGGCAGCGATAGCCGTATATATATATAGAACAGAACAACACAAGAGGTACGTGTAATGAACATTAAATTGAAGTTCCATCAGTAAGGTCAACCAAAGTGACCAATATCGGAGAACACAGAGAGAACACATATACGATAATGACTAATATAAGAGGTATGTTTACATCGTAGTCTCATGACTAGAAAGTGACAGTGTATATGACCCATGCTCCGAGATGTAGTGACAGTGTATATGACCCATGCTCCGAGATGTAGTGACAGTGTATATGACCCATGCTCCGAGATGTAGTGACAGTGTATATGACCCATGCTCCGAGATGTAGTGACAGTGTATATGACCCATGCTCCGAGATGTATTGACAGTGTATATGACCCATGCTCCGAGATGTAGTGACAGTGTATATGACCCATGCTCCGAGACCAAGTTACAGAGCATGACCCACACTCTGAGATCAACTCCACTAATGAACATGTGGGGCTCTGGGAGCACTGAAGCCGTGCGATGATTGGGTGGGTTATGGATTATTCTCCAGTCATCGAGTAGATCTCAATCTATTTTTTCAGAGGAAGATGTCGGGATATGTTTGATTGGAGTAGTTGGTTCCAGAGTCACTTTGGAATGTTTGTGGTACTCGAACCTCGTTCTCTAGCAATGGTTTAGGTTCGTTGTTATATATTCAGGATCTCTTTGTATGATCATAAACTGACCATACCTGAGTATATATAAACTGGGTATATCGAAACCTCGCTGTGTGATTAGTAGAAGAAATCAAACTTTAGCTATTATGGTATTAATAAAAAAATTGCGATTTTTTGGGCCGCTCTTAATATCGTTAAAATTCGAGGAGTGTCCTGAACCTCACCTCGAGATTACCTGAAGGGCTCCAACCTCTCATTCGCATATTGATCATGTAATGAGATTCTTGGCTAATCAGAGAGCTGATCAGGAACCAGTCATCAATCAAGGATTTTCCCTGAATATGACATTATTTTTCCCTGGAAATATGAAGCAAATCTTTACTTTAAGCCCCTGTTGTCAATGGCAACCTGTCCCCTTGAAATTACAGTACTTATAGTAAGATTTTGGTCTAAAGAACCAATATGTAATGATGGATTACCAAGAAACCACTTTTTGTGCTATTAATTCTATAGAGTCCAGAAAAAAAAAAAATTCAAATCTGTATATTCTCTGAATAGTATAGCACACATACGTACTATATTAGACCTAAAATAGCCTGTAATAGGCCTAGTACTTCCATGAGAAATTAGGATAGGTTATGTCTTATATTAATGTCGCAGTTAAAAAAAAATTGTCCAGATTCTAAAACTCAAAATTTTATTTTTTGACGCTCCATCACTACATATCGGTAATTTCCACCAAATAGTTAGCATATGTACATTCGTTTTAGGAGAATGGGCTGCTAGAGGAGGAGAATGGCGCCACGATGGAACGTTTCCATCAGTATTTCCTTATTAGTTACTAAATACAATAAATTAAAAATTAATCTCAGGAGACGATGCTCGGTTAATTAGATAATTGTTGTCAAAATATTCCTAAACTCGCTGTATAATGTTCATCATTGTTCATGGCAAGGCACAGAGCAAAGTTCAATATGAGTAGTACATGTGATACATCCAGCAGATCAATAATTTTTTCATAACCATCTGAACAAGTCGGTCACAACTGTTCATAACCTCTTGAACAAATAGGTAATAATAGTTCATAACCACTTAATCATTTCAGTCACTGTTGTTCACAACCAAATAAAAACTGCAAGTCAGTGAAATGATTATCATCTCAATCTTATCTAATTTAATGCTTATTTATTTTCATTAATTTCCTGTTTACCTGAAATTCTTGGAAAAGGTTCACATACATTCTCCTCGTGTATGTTTCACAGCTCACCAGAACAACTTTAAATAACTAAAGTTTTTTTGTGTGTGTGCGTATTTGTTTGCTCAACTCAGGATTTGAGACGTCACGGAAATCTGAAGGTGTTCTTCATGTCTGCGAGAGAGATGGTCAGGTAATGATTAGTGCGGATTGTACTGATCAAGTTTACAGGTGAGAACGATTAGCTATTCTCCAGCGCAATTCCACAAAATATGAACATGAACATGAGTTATCCTGTTCATATAAACACACACACACACACACACACACACACACACACACACACACACACACACACACACACAATATATCATCACTCATAGTGATGAATAAACCCACGTTACGGAGGTATGAGTGACGCACCTCACACTGAACTCTCCTTCTGACTGGCGATGAGCGGCGCCGTCACGTCGGGATCACACGGATGAAAATCACGCCTGAGGGAGTGCCTCCGCCCTATAGATGCTGTGGAGGGTGACCATAGCGGGTGACTGGGCTGCCCAGCCTGCTGGTGACCGCTGAGCAAGGGCGGAGTGGGCGTGTGGACGGTGTAGGCGGGTGTTGGGGCGGCCACTGCGGCTAGAGGATGGGTGTAGGATGGGTGAGGATGGTGAGGGGGTGCGTAGTGTGAGTGTCCGTGGGTGTCTTCTAGAGTAGCGTGATGAGAGTGAGTCGGGGAATGTAGTGAAGTAGAGTCGTTGTGATGGTGATGAGAGGGCGTGGGAGAACGCGTGGTTGGGTCCTGGTGATGGTGGTGATGGTGGTGGTGGTGGTGCAGGGGTGTTGGCGAGTGTGGGGTGGAGTCGTGGTGTTGGTGGAGAGTGGAGGTGCTCACGGCTCCACTGAGTACCAGCTCGTTATACTGGAGGTCCTCCGTGCCACAAGGCTGTGAGTGAAGAGAGAGACACCTGTTGATAAACTCAACATACAGAGTGGGTCCTCGTCAAGTGTATACAATACAATAAAATGTATATGCCTACTCGTCATTGCAAAAGCAACACTGGAGAAAACTAATTTCGGCTATTGGTATTTAAATTTAAATTATTAAAACCAATATAAAGGATATTTTTTAAAATAATCTCTCGGTCTATATCACACACACGCTCCTTATGATAGGAAACAGTTTATCTTTAAAACACACATGCACACCCACACACACGCACACACACACACACACACACACACACACACACACACACACACACACACACACACACACACACACACACACACACACACACACACACACACACACACACACACACACACACACACACACACACACACATACACACAAATACACACCTCCCGGCACCACACACGCAACCCCACACACATAAATTCAACAATATACCAGTAATGAGGACTCACCTGGTAATTAGGTGGAGTGGTCAGGTGCGAGGCCTGAGGCAAAGTGGTGTAGGTGGTCGGCATTGATGCGGAACTGATAGTGGTCACACTACCAACCACCCAGGACTCCGCCCCTGTGGAACAGTGGTTGTGGTGTACTAACGGCGGACGGGCGTGGTGTGGAGTTATGATATGTAATGGGTGGTTATGTCCTGTACTTTCATACGGCGCTCTCATGACCTCAGGTGAACTGAATTGTAACAGCCCATCAATGCCTACGTTTTTTCAACAGGCCTCTGTCAATATGTGTAGATATATATATATATATATATATATATATATATATATATATATATATATATATATATATATATATATATATATATAAATATAAATATATATATATATTATATATATATATATATATATATATATATATATATATATATATATATATATATATATATATATATATATATATATATATGATCAACGGTGCTGATCAAGCAGGTGGGGCGGCCAAAAACAGATAAATAACAAAATCAGTCAAATACAGGCGATTGGAAGGTTAATACACCGTAGTTCCCATAGCGTCTGAGACGCATGGCCCCTGGAGTGCCTTGGGATTTCTCAAAGAATTGGGTTTCATGCTCATCGACATCATCAGAGACCCAAGGGCTGCCAGTTTTTTGTTTCTGTGCCTTAGTGTTGCTATCCAGAGGGGAATCGCCTGCTGCCTCCACGGTTCCTGTCTGCGGAGGAGCTTCAAGAGATCCATAACCTTTAAGCACTCATTGTATTAACAAATGTACATCTTGTAACCTTTATATATCAAATAAAGCACAACAAAACCCAACAGTAAGAGGGTGGTTGGAGAAAAGCACACAGAAACTGTATTGGAGGGGACCTAAATATCCCCTCTAATGCGTTATGTGTGATTTCCTCCGAGACTAAGGGTCCCCTTCTACCAGCCAGAATTGGTATTTCCTATATATATATATATATATATATATATATATATATATATATATATATATATATATATATATATATATATATATATATATATATATATATATATATATATATATATATATATATACCGCTCTACTTGGCCTAGTATGCATGATCCAATTTCGCTGGCAGGCAGTGATGTTCGATATTTTCAAATATTTCTTTCCAAATTGGTTTATTCCAATTAATATTGTTTTATTAAAAAACTTGATTTACTGACTTAGTTATGTTAGGTTAGGTAGGTGAGGTTAGATTAGGGTTCATCAAATTTCTTTCAACGTTTTAGCTTAAAAAATTAATATTATATAGTATAATGAAAACCTTTATAAATCCACAACATAATTTTTTTTTATTTGATATTTTCCGGAAAATTCTGCTTGTTAGACAACCAGGCATTTTAGGTACAGCATATATGTATTTATTTATTCCAGTGGGTTTACATAGCTGATTGAAATAAATGATGCAAATCTGCCGAGCCTTTCATGCACATTGAGGTGGAAGACGATGCAATTGAATGCGACTGAATCTCTCACCATAAAGCAGGTTGTTATGTACAACATTGTAAGAGTTTATGGAGAGAAGAACAACATCTTTACCGCTTACTGAAGGATGAAACTTGCTTAAACTTCTTGAAACTTACATGAATCAAGAATAAAATTCATTTAAGTCATCTAACGTTTCTTACATCAAGAGAGACATAACTTGACCTACACAAATTCTTCAATTTGGAATGGCCGAACAGACGTTTATAAGGAGATAATATCGACGGGGTCAGTAGCAGGTACCAACAGAGAGAGAGAATATATTTTAGCACCTCGAGGAATGTTGAAAGTCTTCTTTATGGCACTGAACGATGAACGTTGCATCTGTGAACGCTCATGTCGCTCACCCTCTGTAATATGTGTTTCGCAATGAAATCATCTCATTTAGTGAAATGTTAAATGAACGGCAAACGTTTATTTCAAGTGTTAGGAACATGACACGGTTCATTTAACTTAAGATAGACATGATATTGTCGACTCATCAAAGTTAGTAAAATGAAAGAAATTAGACGAAAGTAGCTTCGTATGACAATACGACTTCAAAAGACCAGAGTTTTCCAATGTAAAATGCGTATTCATTCTCTCCAGTTACATCCAATTATCATATAAAGGACAAGATTGCTATCAAACAGACTTATATAGTGCTTCAAATAATGGCATAATAAATTAGATCCCTCCCCCCCCCTCGATGTAAAAGACTTGTTCAAGTGCAGCTTTGTAAAAAGCAAGTGTGAGCTGAACCGCTGCTAAAATATTACCCTTAACCCCAAATGTGTACAATTGGCACATTCTACCCATAGTTGCTTAATGTGCTAAGGTAGAAATATTGATCCCATTCTCCTGATGCGAAAGTACTTGTAGAAACTCTTCAGTCGAAAGTATCAATATGAAGTTATAGACTGCCAATAATTAACTTTTTTACTTTTAATTTTATAGAGTCCGAAAAAATAAAGCTAAATCCAAATATTCTTAGGCCTTGAATAGTACATATATATATATAATTTATTAGGCCTAAAGTAGAATGTATTAAACCTAAGAGTGCTGGGAGAGGTTAGGTGAGCTCTCATATTTATGCAGAAGTTAGAAAAGTTTCCCATTTGCTCAAATTCAATAATAAAAAAGTCAACTTTTTGGTGGCGCATCACTACATATTGGTAGTTTAGAACTCATGGTTCCAATAACATAATTTCAGGAGAAGTGGCTGAAATATTTGATCCACCTTACCTTTAGTGAAGACGATCCTGTTAACATTATGTCTCGGGCTGAACCACTGAATATATTGAGCAAATAATGGATTAAGTGCTTTTTTTTCTTAAAGTTTAACTAGTAATATGTATGCTTGTGTTACAGGAAGGCACAAATACAATAACGCCGTAATTAACTAAGATTTCTTTGGTACTGAGTATGAGAATTTTGTCTGCCAATTAATTAAAATTCTCAGTCGAATTAATTATGTAAATGGTAAACCTTACTGCAACCTGTCTTAATTAATGTTACGTTAAACAGTTCCATCAGCTCTTACTGCTAAGTGATCTTACCACTTTCTTCACTGGTGGGAGATGTCGTCACTATCCTCACTGTTAGATGGTGTCACTATCCTCACTGATAGATGATGTCACTATCCTCACTGTTAGATGATATCACTATCCTTACTGTTAGATGATGTCATCCCTATCCTTACTGTTAGATGATGTCATCACTATCCTCACTGTTAGATGATGTCGTCACTATCCTCACTGTTAGATGATGTCGTCACTATCCTCACTGTTAGATGATGTCATCACTATCCTCACTGTTAGATGATGTCATCACTATCCTTACTGTTAGATGATGTCATCACTATCCTTACTGTTTGATGATGTCATCACTATCCTTACTGTTAGATGATGTCATCACTATCCTCACTGTTAGATGATATCATCGCTATCCTCACTGAAGGATGACGTCTAAACTCATCTACTTAGAGGATGATCTCATCCATACCCATTATCTGAGTGGAGAATGATATAACCGCACAGTTAAGAGGAGAAAGCTGTAACCCCTCCAAATAAGAGAATGATGTCACCCATCAGAAGCAGAGAGATGTCATCCCTCAACAAGAGACGGCCGAATAATTTGGCTCGAACTGAGAATTTCACTCTACCTGACGATGCTGAGGGAGGGGGCAAGTCCTTCAGGATTGACGGGGATATTCTAGTTTCCTCCTCGCTGCCCACAGGGTTCTTCAGCCCTGCCCGCCCACACGCCCTGCCACGCCTGCCGTAGTGGATTCTGACGAGGGCGCACACGACTGCCAACACTACCAGAAGAGAGCCCAGAACGCCCACCACCACGGCAATGATAGGCTCTATCAGGCGGTCCTCTTGCTGATGCTTCTCTGGTGGCGGGGAGGGCTTCACCGCCGCTGGAGGAGGGATAAAGAGTGAAAGAGGGAGGCTTCACTGTCCCTGGTGGAGGTAGAGAATGTGAAGGGGAGCGGAGAGAAGGGAAGATGAAAGTGAAAATAGAGCGAAATGGTAATGAAAGAGGAGAAGTGAGGACAGAGGGGACTAGGCAAGAAGAAAGAAGAGATGAGTAAGAGGAGGGTGAGGTTTTAAAGAGAGAACTCAGAAATGAATACTGCGAGAATAGGGAGAGACAGCTAAACACAGAGAGAGGATAAGTGAAACTGGAAGGAATGCGAGCCGATAACAAATACGAAAAAGACAAGAAAAACATGACTAAGATCAAACAAGAGAAGGAGAATGATTGAAGGTCACAGGGGAAAAATATGAAATTATCGAACTATGTTAATTGCTTGAATGCAAATGAGAGCGGATCTGTTGCCCTTTTTCTTGATGTTATAACCCTTCGTGATTTAATTATCCATTATGTCACAACCCTTCTTTATGCCACAGGTATTGATGTCACTACATTTGATGGTGACAGAATTGTTCCTTACATCACCTCTCTTCTTATTGTCACAACTCTTCTTGATACTACTAACAACGCCAGCCATTCAGCTATCAGATTATCTGTTAACACAATTCGTCCTATCAACGTAAATAAATCAGAACCTTTGTTCTGGCTGTGTGTACACCAAGCAGTAGACCTGGCTTGATTGATCAGATATAGCACTGTACACAATTGACTCCGAAACATAAATTTAATGACGTATTTTTATACCACTATATATGAGTAGGGAGACATATACTGACGTAAACATGCGGATGAAAAGGTGGAATGATTATCCAGTGTCCATCAATCACTGGATTATTCAGTGTTCATCAATTCCACATCCTCTACAGCTCACTAGCGGTCAGCCTCTACGCTCAGTTTAGCAGCCGGTTTGTTCATGGTTTCTATATCATTCATAGTTCAAGATCAGTTTAATTCATTTCTTCCACATCTGCCATAGTTCAAGAACAGCGTGGGTCACCGGTTCTTCATTATCTTCAGCTCAGAAGTTTTCTCAATCAAGATCTATGATCAAACTTCAAGTAAAAAGGTTTTCTCAGCAGCAATCCATCGCTTTGTAAAACTCGTTGCCGGTCTTAAGGAACTAGATAGGTATTATCCCTCTTGACTACAAGTTGCGTTCTATCCTGCTGATCTGCCTCGCCGTTGAACGCATCACTTATTCTCAAGTTGTATTTTGTTTAACTCTGATTGCTGGCTGGGTGACTTCCATTAACGAAAGGAGGTTACTTGTCAGGAAATTATTTCCTCGAAATTTCTTCCCACATATCAGACCAGGTCTGATATGTGGGAAGAGTGCGAGGGCTAACACTTAAACGTCTGAAGAACGTCTCCATATACTATGTGGTTTACCGGAGGTTACAATTTCTCCGACCCCTGCAAGCCACTATAATACATTCTAAGACATTAGCTTTCAATTAGGTGATCCTCTCGTCCAGGTGTCAAAGTGACCAAATACACTTAATACTAGAATTAATTTTCAAATTCACTTGAGTTGTGTGTCTCGGCTGAGACCTAGATTCTCTTCAGAGTATTTAAGATGAAGATCTCTGCCTTTTGTGGAAAATCTGGACAATTCAAGTTCTTCATCTAAAATATGTCTTTGATAGGATTTAATACGAGGCTGTTGTCAACTGTTCACCCTTAACCTATTTAAATTAAATTATCATTGCATCTCCAGTAAGGGGGAATTTATCTAAATAATCAGATTTCAAAACAAATTAATAATTGTATTTGCTAATGATCTTACAGATTCTGCCTTCCACCATTAAGATTGAGAGCTGCTTTCATAAAATTTGTTTTACAGATTACATGACGTAGAAATGGAATACTATTGGCTAGAGTATTGCAGTATGAATCTCTTGCAAGGTTTAAAAGTCCGGCTGGGTGGCGTCTGGCTACCATTTGTTAAGATCCCTGGAGCCCAGAGGCAAAGGTTAGCTTTACCGACATGCAAGTTATGGTTCACTTTTCAGAACCTCCACTTTTCAGAACTATCTATCCATCTATCTATCTATCTATCTATCTATCTATCTATCTATCTATCTATCTATCTATCTATATATATATATATATATATATATATATATATATATATATTTATATATAATTTCGTTGGTACATACTGCCCCTTTTTCAGTGCCGGTGGAATGAATCACTCAAAACAACGTATCTCATGGAGTATCTAACACAATACTGACAATTTTAATCTTGTATATTTACCCTGTGGAATTGGCTGAGTTGCACCCCAGCATTTTCCCTCTGGTCAGTAAATAAAAGAAACACGGTCGCTTTACGGCCACGAGGAAGCTTCGTGTATAAGGATGTGTAGTATATGATTTATGCACATAATTATACTGATCTTGTTTAAGTGATGATACAAAATATAGGAGATAGGCGAAAGTATTTCCATACTCTGTTAAAAACATAGCTCTATGCCAAAGAATTTGTTTCCACAATATCACACAAGAATGGACTCAAACACATGTACATGCACATCATCATTTGCTCTTCATCATTTTGCTGCAACTCGAAAACTTGATCAATGAGAGACTTGACGCATATTATAAATGCTAGCAGAAGTGGTGATTAAATTATTTTGAGTCATTTTAAATTCAAATTTTATATATTGTCTTAATCTTTGCATCAGCTATGACGACATCTGTTTTTTTCTGTACATTAATCATGTTTTCCTCTGCATAGTAGTTTTAGAATATCTATGAAAAAAACGATCTTCGTGTGTTGAAAAAAGCAGCAGCAAAGTCACTGAGATTGAATGTGATGATGCACTATGTCTTTTACGTAGGAACGGATATGTTTTACAATGATAGCAATAAAAAAGGAACTGAAGTTAGTTCCTTGTTTGACTTCTTACGCTATTTGAGACGTCACAAGTGGAGTCCCGCAGGGGTCAGTCCTTGGACCTATACTGTTTCTGGTATATGTAAATGATCTCCCAGAGGGTATAGATTCGTTCCTCTCAATGTTTGCCGACGATGCAAAAATTATGAGGAGGATTGAAACAGAGGATGATAGTAGGAGGCTACAAGATGACCTGGATAGACTGAGTGAATGGTCCAACAAATGGCTGTTGAAGTTCAACCCGAGTAAATGCAAAGTAATGAAACTAGGCAGTGGAAACAGGAGGCCAGGCACAGGATACAGAATAGGAGATGAAGTACTTAATGAAACAGACAGAGAGAAAGATCTAGGAGTTGATATCACACCAAACCTGTCTCCTGAAGCCCACATAAAGAGAATAACGTCTGCGGCATATGCGAGGCTGGCTAACATCAGAACGGCGTTCAGGAACCTGTGTAAGGAATCATTCAGAATCTTGTACACCACATATGTAAGACCAATCCTGGAGTATGCGGCCCCAGCATGGAGCCCGTACCTTGTCAAGCACAAGACGAAGCTGGAAAAAGTCCAAAGGTATGCTACTAGACTAGTCCCAGAACTAAGAGGCATGAGTTATGAGGAAAGGCTGCGGGAAATGCACCTCACGACACTGGAAGACAGAAGAGTAAGGGGAGACATGATCACAACCTACAAAATCCTCAGGGGAATCGACCGGGTAAACAAGGACGAACTTTTCAACACTGGTGGGACGCGAACAAGGGGACACAGGTGGAAGCTGAGTACCCAAATGAGCCACAGAGACGTTAGAAAGAACTTTTTCAGTGTCAGAGTAGTTAGCAAATGGAATGCATTAGGAAGTGATGTGGTGGAGGCTGACTCCATTCACAGTTTCAAATGTAGATATGATAGAGCCCAATAGGCTCAGGAATCTGTACACCAGTTGATTGACGGTTGAGAGGCGGGACCAAAGAGCCAGAGCTCAACCCCCGCAAGCACAATTAGGTGAGTACAATTAGGTGAGTACACACACACACACACACACACACACACACACACACACACACACACACACACACACACACACACACACACACACACACACACACACACACATGCAGATGACGCAAAATTAATGAGAAGAGTTGTGACAGACGAGGATTGTAGGATCCTCCAAGAGGACTTAAACAGGCTGCAGAGATGGTCAGGGAAATGGCTACTGGAGTTTAACACCAGTAAATGTAAAGTTATGGAAATGGGATCAGGTGACAGGAGACCAAAGGGACAGTACACAATGAAGGGGAACAGCCTACCTGTAACGATTCGAGAAAGAGACCTGGGAGTGGATGTGACACCTAATCTAACTCCTGAGGCACATATAAATAGGATAACGACAGCAGCGTACTCTACACTGGCGAAAATTAGAACTTCATTCAGAAACCTAAATGAGGAAGCTTTTAGGGCGCTTTACACTGCCTACGTGAGACCCGTCTTAGAGTATGCCGCGCCATCATGGAGCCCCCACCTGAAGAAACACATAAAGAAACTGGAGAAGGTTCAGAGGTTTGCGACGAGGCTTGTCCCAGAGCTACGAGGGATGGGATATGAAGAGCGGCTGAAGGAACTGAACCTTACGACACTAGAGAAAAGAAGGGAGAGAGGAGATATGATAGGGACATATAAAATACTCAGGGGAATTGACAAAGTGGAAATAGATGAAATGTTCACACGTAATAATAACAGAACGAGGGGACATGGGTGGAAACTGGAAACTCAGATGAGTCACAGAGATGTTAGGAAGTTTTCTTTTAGCGTGAGAGTAGTAGAAAAATGGAATGCACTTGGGGAACAGGTTGTGGAAGCAAATACTATTCATACTTTTAAAACTAGGTATGATAGGGAAATGGGACAGGAGTCATTGCTGTAAACAACCGATAGCTAGAAAGGCGGGATCCAAGAGGCAATGCTCGATCCTGCAAGCACATATAGGTGAGTACATATAGGTGAGTACACACACACACACACACACTCACACATACACACACACATACACATATGTTGAGGCGGGAACTAGAACAGCATTGGATAGTTGAGGAACGGAAATTTGAACAACACTTGCTAGTTAAAGAATGGGAACTGCAACAACATTGCATAGTTCCGGAATGGGAATTTAAACAACACTGGTTAGCAGCGAAACAGCAATTGTAGTTGTATTGAATAATTGCTTATGAGACACTTGATTTCCGTTCTGTAGATTAATAACAGAAGTCTGTACAATATTTTAATTTAGAGGCGAACTAATTTAGGGAATAATTATAATAATACCGATATTAATAATAATAATAATAATAATAATAATAATACTGTTATTGTTTTTATTAATATTATTATTATAGTATTACTAAAAGGTGTAAAAATTACTCTGTTGTTCGCAACACTCAGAAGACTGGCTACTCTGGGATTCTCAGTTTCCCTAACTTGTTTATCGTGCAATTCATTTTGGAGTTTGAGTTCACATTTTTTTACTTGAGCCAAAGCTCTTCGAGCCAATTAAGACGAAGTGATAACAATGTGTAAGACCTCTGTATCTGGGAGACTTTTGAAGCAGCACCTTCACCTTCAAACCCACTGTAACAACTTTGTCTGTCATTGTTGATGTATGTGTGTATAGTGACTGTGTACCAACCGCTCAGCGTAACCTTGTGGTTCATGCCGGACGAGTCTCGCCGTCAGTCCTGTACAGTTGGGGGGTGAGGAGAAGGGAGGGTTGCAACGAAAGTTAATTTAACAGTATTATGAACTTCAGATCTAACTTTTACAAACAGTAATACGATCTTCTCCCTGTCAGGGGGACTATTCCACTGAAACTGCGATAGAGTTGGGAAGATTTGTGCGAAGAATCCTACAGAGTACACCAATGACTGACTGCTTCAATAAACATGATCAAATGAATTCCATTGGGATCTCTCAAGCGCTCAGGTGAGTCTCTCCGTCCAATTCCATCGACGCAGTGCATCAGGAGAGTGAAAACAGGTAAGGTAATGCAATATGTATCGCCTTGAGGATACCTGTCCTCCTGAGTTTAACCAGACTTCCTCTGGGTCGGAGCTGCAGTATTTAGGGGATGGGTCTGTGATTTAACGATCCGTGGTTCGAGCGCTGAGAGTGTCGTGATGTTTTGAGAAGATTCTGAGAAGTTACACATTCAAATTATTATGATTCTCGATTTCGTTTCTATTTTTATAGATTACTCACAGGTAAGATTTTGTCTATGAAGTGATACATCTCTCTTGTTTAATTTATGTAACTGGAACAGCTTATTTAATTCTGATTCTATAAAATACAAATATTTACATTGTATATTGATGTAATTTTGGCCGAAAGGGGGTAGATATAATTCAGAGATATTATATCTTACTTTCAGTTTGGAAGATAACTTTTATTGCCAGTCTTACACATAATACAAAAAAAATCATTGTAATAAAAACAAATTTGCCGAAAAAAAGACATAATTCTAGCGTCACATTTTTTCATAGCTCAGGTTACAGATATCGATAGAATTCTGGTTATATATCGTTTACACAATATCATCCTTATCATTCTATTTATGCTAGCTCAATACAGTCTATGTAGTTCTAGACATATATGTAAATAAATCAACCTAACCCCCTGTAATTCTGGTTACATTACATTAGGGCAAAATAAACACAGCAATTCCGGTGAGTTGAGACATAAATACCCATATCTTAGACAAGTGGGTCACATAACTCACCCTCACCCTTTAATACGCTCGATCGTCTGCTTCAGGTGTAGGGCCTGGAATATTCATTACACACCTGACATTCGCGTTTACTTTGCCAATGTAAAGTAGGGGAAGGAAACCATATTTCATTGAGAGGTGGAGAGGAGACGTTGAAACTGGCTTGTGCTTGAGAGAGAGAGAGAGAGAGAGAGAGAGAGAGAGAGAGAGAGAGAGAGAGAGAGAGAGAGAGAGAGAGAGAGAGAGAGAGAGAGAGAGAGAGAGAGAGAGAGAGAGAGAGAGAGAGAGAGAGAGAGAGAGAGAGAGAGAGAGAGAGAGAGAGAGAGAGAGAGAGAGAGAGAGAGAGAGAGAGAGAGAGAGAGAGAGAGAGAGAGAGAGAGAGAGAGAGAGAGAGAGAGATTAAATAATTAAGCGAAGTAAAAAATACGCGAGTAATACGAGAGTAACACAGGTAACTGTAGTGATGTATAACATAACAAGGATGCATGAAAACAAAGATAATAAGCAATTACTCATTGTCATCATTCCGAAACCGTACTAACTGATCTTACCGATGCGTTTCTCGGCTTGGTCCTGGTCCTTGATGGTGTAGACCTGGAAGGTGAGAACGTCGGCGTTGCCCTTGGAATTGAAGGAGTAGACGCGAGCGGTGAGGGTCAGGCCCCCGGGCAGCCCTCCCACAGAGAACATGGGCACCTGGGAGTCCACACGCCAGCGTGGAGAACCGGAGAGGCAGAGTGGGAGACAGAGAGAGTGGGAGACAGAGAGAGTGGGAGACACAGAGAGAGGGAGACAGAGAGTGGGAAATATAGAGTAGGAGACCGGGATGCAATAAAAAGGTGGAATAAGAAATTGGTATTCAAAGAAACGAGAAAAGAAATAGAAGAGAAAAAAGAGAAAGCAAATGAAAAGACAAAATAAGAAAAAGTTAAAATTTTGGGTTTAACTTCCTCGATATTATATTTCTCTCAACTCAATCTTTTTGAAATATAAAATCTATTCATTCACATTAGAGTGACCTGCATACTATGCTCATGATACGAAAGACATTACAATATATCTTAGAAGATTAATAATGTGTACATGACTCTTCCCTGACAAGTGTCCTACACCCCCTCCTGGCCCCAAGACCCCCTCCCCCCCACACGCACCACTCGATACGCTTACACACACACACACACACACACACACACACACACACACACACACACACACACACATACATACATATATATATATATATATATATATATATATATATATATATATATATATATATATATATGTATACACATGTATTCAGAGAGCAACAAAGCCGTTAACTATAGTGCCTCCTCTTGCCCAGTGAATTTCCTTCCCTTGTTGACCCTCTAAACCCAGCGTGTAGCTGCCTGGGAACACGAAGTAATCACTTGCTGCCTGCAGGGAGGCACTAAACACTTGCTGCCTAGAGGGGACACTAAACATTGGCTGCCTGCAGGGAGGCACTAAACACTGGCTGCCTGCAGGGGGGACACTAAACATTAGCTCTCTGGAGGGAGGCACTCAACACTGGCTGCCTGCAGGGGAGGACACTAAACATTGGCTGCCTGCAGGGAGGCACTAAACATTAGCTGTCTGAAGGGAGTCACTCAACACTGGCTGTCTGCAGGCGACACTAAACATTGGCCGATTCTTTTAAATGCTGAAGTAACAGTATGTTTCTGCTCACCTCCCGGTAGCGAGAATTTGTTTCGTAATTTGACGTATTACAAGTGACAAGAGCCTTCAAATTGCTCCTATGATGAAAACTAACCTCAATCCGGATGGCGTATATACCGCACCTCTCGCTTGGTAGTTAATTCTGCAAGGGAGGACTTGCAGAGAAGCTGATTGTTTGATATGCAAAATCTCTTTTGTGTTGAAGCGTGTGGATGTATGGTAATACGTAGGGTACATAAAGGTTACTTCTGCTTTGATGCGCGACTCAAGGGTCCCGAACACAAGGTAACTCGGCGTGCATCACAGGAGCAGTGAAACCCTGATTTTCAAGCAGATTTAGTTGCTATTTGGGAATACATGTTACGTTCTGTACACTGTGTTCAGCTGTACACGGTGTGTTCTTCCAGTGAATTACGACGTTGTAGCTAGAGGGTCTTTGGCACTGGTACTAGAGGGTCTTTGGCACCGGTACTAGATGGTCTTTGGCACTGGTGCTAGAGGGTCTTTGGCACTGGTGCTAGAGGGTCTTTGGCACTGGTGCTAGAGGGTCTTTGGCACTGGTACTAGAGGGTCTTTGGCACTGGTACTAGAGGGTCTTTGGCACTGGTACTAGAGTGTCTTTGGCACTGGTACTTGAGGGTCTTTGGCACTGGTGCTAGAGGGTCTTTGGCACTGGTGCTAGAGGGTCTTTGGCACTGGTGCTAGAGGGTCTTTGGCACTGGTACTTGAGTGTCTTTGGCACTGGTACTAGAGGGTCTTTGGCACTGGTACTAGAGGGTCTTTGGCACTGGTGCTAGAGGGTCTTTGGCACTGGTACTAGAGTGTCTTTGGCACTGGTACTAGAGGGTCTTTGGCACTGGTACTAGAGGGTCTTTGTCACTGGTACTAGAGGGTCTTTGGCACTGGTACTAGAGTGTCTTTGGCACTGGTACTAGAGGGTCTTTGGCACTGGTGCTAGAGGGTCTTTGGCACTGGTGCTAGAGGGTCTTTGGCACTGGTGCTAGAGGGTCTTTGGCACTGGTACTAGAGTGTCTTTGGCACTGGTACTAGAGGGTCTTTGGCACTGGTACTAGAGGGTCTTTGGCACTGGTACTAGAGTGTCTTTGGCACCGGTACTAGAGGGTTTTTGACATAGTAAGTGTGGCGCCTTTCACACCTTAATTACGTATTCTTTGACACCGTATATTGTACTGGATGTTCAACAAAAGGATCCACAATATCGAATTTAAGTCCCTGGGATGCTCAACATTAGAGCCAAACGTATACAGCTTTTCGTACTTAAGCCCTTATATACACCCTTTGGTATCCAACATAAGATCCAAGAAACTGACCATAAAGTTCAGGGGTAGTCCCTCTCAATTTAAAAAATACCCCCAAATATCCAATATAATTCCCCTTTCAAAAAGAAACTGAAGCGAAAAAAGAGATGTAAATCATTCTTTATCTGATCTTAAGTACCTTTCTCTCCTTAACTCCATCATCATCAAAGAAATTGTAACCATCTTATTACACACTCCTTATTCCAACTCCTATCCTTCCCCCATCTAAGATAAATATCATCTACTCACTATACCTTTTTTCTAATTCCCTTAAAGGTAAGATTAGAGAGGCTTGATGCTCTGGCTCACTCACCGAACTTGAGACATTGACGAGAGGGTGGTCCGCCCCTACTTCGTACAGCTCCAGTATGAAGGTCTGAGGTATGCCGCCGTCGAAGCCAGCAACGCATCGGAGGTTCACCACAGTCACACTCAAGTTGTACATCGAGCAGTTGTGAACGGGGTCCGGGTGACCTGGTGTATTGGAAGGGTAAGAAACGCACCTGATTAGGTGACTCCAATAGAAACACACGAATGCGTGAAACTGCAGGAGGCCTATTGGTCCATGAGTCCGCAGTTTCTACGTATATGCAAAC